GTAGACAGCACACAATGAGTTATTTTTCTCATAAAGGGGATGGGGGTTGCCTAGAACCATGAGCAGAAAAGACATCTGTTGTATGGCTCAACAGCCACTTTTACTACAGCGAACAGTTCATTTGACAAAACACAAAAAATGTTCTCTTTTGTAAGCTCTTCATACTAATAAAAGAGAGTGCTCAGACTGTTGAAAACTGCCCTACCCATCTGAATTGACTCATAATGTTATTAATTTAATTTCCATCAATTATATTAACTAGTTCCTAAGTAAAGAACAAAATATTCTAGTCAACTGATGGAAGCAACAATTATTTTCAGACAACACAACTGATGGGGCTCTTCTTCCCATTCATGTAAGAATCTGGGAACACCTATGTAGGTAAGATGTAATATCGGATCACATTTATATCAAAAAATGTGTCATGACTTTTCCAACAACCCAGTAATAGGCAAAGCCTACAAATAAGTAGTTAGCAATATAATAATAATATCCAAGAATCAGATAGTTAAAAATGTTACTTCAGATCAGCTCCTTGACACAACTACAATATACTGCTCAAGAGAAGCCAGCTCTCAAGGCCAGCAGGTGGCATGGTAGTTGAAAGCGCTGGACTCGCACTGAAGTTCAAGTCTGGACCTGGCAGCTTGCTTTCTCACTCCTCCCCTCCCCCCCCTTTGTTCTTCTGCCCGCCCCTCCCCCCCCCCTCCCCTCGCCCGTGGTAGAGTTTAAATAAATTAAATTAAATTAAATTAAACAATTATTTTTTTAAAAAACAAGTCAGCTCTCACATGGTGACCACAGTGCAGATCTCCTTCTTGGTCAGCCTGAAACATGCATGACACATTCACATATGTACTGAGGATCCCACAGGCTGAAGGAAGTGGCTCACAGTGTAACCAGACCATGTGGAAGGTGCTTGTGTGCGTGTATGTGTTTGTGTGTGTATCTCAGACACGCACAGTCTATTATCAACAAAGAAAAAGAATTTTTTTCGGGAACCAGCAGTTAGCATAATGGCTATGTCGCATGGATTCCCATGAAGTCGACCGCGGTTCACATCCCGGACCTGGTGGCTTAGAACTCACGCCGGGCGCATGTGCGTGCGTGCCCAAGATCCCAAGAGGAGAGTGGAGGAGAAGGGATTGCGGTGTGACCATCTCCCCTGGGGGGTGATTTCTCGCTTTCTGTCTCTATGTCTCTGTCTGTCTGGCGAGCGCACAAGCCCTATTGCAAAAACCTCTCAAAAAAAAATTTTTTTTTTACTTCTAACCAAACTCAAACAATTACAAAAAATAATAGTTTATTTCTGAAGAGAAAGGGGTTTTCAGGACTAGAAACAATACCCTCAGTATCAGTAAGGAAATGTTTTTCCTAGGCCTGAAGAAAAAGGGGATGAAAAGAGAATTCAAGAAGCACTTACTGAAACAAACAAAAAACCTGTAACATTGAAAGAGTTCACTGAGAGATTAAAAAACCTTATTATGGGATGAGCAGAGGGTGGAACAGTTATGCTGCTGGACTCCCACATGGCAGACTAGAGTTACAGTCCAGGACCTACCTAGTGGCTTGCTTTCTTACTTTCTCTCTCACTCACTCTCTCTCTCTGGTGAGCGCACATACCCTATAGCAAACTTAAAAGAATAATAAATTAAATTAAAATTGTAAAAAAAAAAAAGAAGAAGAAAGAGTTTATATTCTTTTTCTAGTTGGTAAAGACACTCTTCTTTTTTTTCTTTTTTTGAGAGGTTTTTGCTATAGGTCGCATGCGAGCGCCAGAAAGACAGAAAGCGAGAAATCACCCCCCGGGAGGATGGCCACGCCACAATCCCATCTCCTCCATTCTCCTCTCGGGATCTTGGGCACACACACACATGCTCCCAGCATGAGTCCAAGCCACCAGGTTCGGGACTTCCGGTTAACTACATGGGAGTCCAGCAACATAGCCATTACACCAACTGCTGGTCCCAGTAAAAACACCCTTCTTAACCTAAGTAACTGCTATTTATTCTTTAATATTCCTAATTTCCTTCCAGATAAAATTTCTCTATGCATATAAAGTCTGACCTGAATTAAACTAGCCCATGTTTTGGTTCCTTTCTTATTTCATCTATGCTATCAAGCACTATTTTCCCAGCAAGAATTTAAGTTTGTGATGTTAAAGCCCATCTTTCTACCCACTGATTATCACTGTCAACATGATAGTGACCCTATAGAGCATCTGAAATTGAATTAGGTTAGAACACTCAGAAATTCAGAAGAGGGAACAAGTATATGCAAAGTCATTTAAAAACCCAAATCTTAGACCTAAACAACAAGCAAATCTTAAGTAAATTTCCAATCACCAAAAAAATATACTAAAAAGTTAACAGACACTGGGGGCCAGCAGGTGGCATGGTGGTGGGGTGCTGAACTCCCATATGGCTGACCATAGTTCCAGTCCCAAATCTGGCAGCCTGCTTTCTCACTCTCTCTCCCTCTGTGTCTGTCTCTGGTCAAACTAATAAGTAGTAATAATGATGACAAATAAAATTAAATAATTTTTTAAAAAGTGAATAGACATTGATTCTACATTCCCCAGAAAATTCTAAAAGCTCACTCTCAAAGGAGGAAGAAAGAAGGTATGACAAAGACAAATGGAATGAGATTACTAATTATGAGGTCAAATTTAAGATAATAAGGCTCAGAGATGTCCAGATTTTATAAACTCATAATGCAAAGGTTTTTTTACACACAAACGCACATTTATTTCAGTATAACATATAGTAAATAGTATTCATTCTCCTAAAAAGAACAGGAGGTAAAACTGAAGCAGAAGAAATGTGTATTTGTATCTAGAAGTTCAGATTAATTTCTTAACTGCTAGCATTTCTATTTAGAACATCTTCAACAAGAAATGTGAGAAACAAAGATTCAACTACCAAAAAAATTCTAATGGTGAAAAAAAGCTATTATTAAACAAATGCATCATCTCTCTTTTTTATGAAAAAGGAAACTATCTTGAATATATTTTCAAAACCACTGTTTAATTCATTTGGATGCATTTTTATCACCAAACATATCAGGGAACAACTTAATTAAGGTTTTATTTACTCTTAAGGAAATACAGGCCATTTCAAACAAAGCATCACTTGTTGGTGTGGACTAGTGTGAGCAGCTCCAGGCTGGAAGCTCCGCCTTTAAGCACTGCATGACCTCGAGCAAGTCACAGGACCTCCTGGGGCCGGCTGTTTCTTCATCTATAAAAGGGAGGCAACTGGGCGATCTTTGGTTTCTTTCAGCACTAAGTTTAATTCTGATGTCTTGGTTTAAACTTACATTCAATCTTATGGAAGGAAGAGGGAGAGAGTGGACACTTTCCTGACTTTTTTCCTTAAGATACCTTCTCTTTCAAGCCCCACCTCAACCCTATCACGTAAGAAGGCACTGTAGTACATAACCAACATCTATTTTATTTAAATTACACCAGCTTCTTAATTGTAAGAAATCAAATTCTTCTACCCCCCCTTTAATAGATAAAACCTTTATTATGTTGCTTATTTTTATGCCTTTTGATTGCTCCCTTATTAATTACTGGCCTTTAAAAACTTGGGGGGGAAAGAGCAAAAAGGTTTCATTGGCTTTTTTCACATACACCAGACTAGAAGTAAATACAGCCTTTGCTTACTCAAAGGCTGACTAACCCAGCAATATGCAAACAAAGATGATAGCAAATGGCTCAGAGCTGAATTGGTAAAATGTCCGCTGTGCCTTTCTCTTAAGACCACAAAATTGATATTCGTTAATATCAGCAATCCTTTCAAAAGAGTAAGAAATAGTAACTGACAGCTTGTCTCTCTCGTCCCTATCATCTGAAAGGCCTTCAAGCACTTAGAAAATTAGTAAGAACAAATCCTCAAAGAACTAGCTAAATATAATTCTAGTGAACAATAAATGGCTTGGTGAATTTTATTTCCAAAAACTTTATTCCTAATTATTGCATATTCAAATTTTACTTTACTCAACTTTTATTCAGATATTCCAGAAGTAAAATACAACTGCATTTAGTTTCTCAGAGTGCCCTGAACTTCATGGCATACTAGAATGTACACTTGTCAGCCAAAATCCCAACAATTTCAATATTTGTCAGTAGTAGCAGATATTTCAGGGAGAGACTGAACAATCTTTTCATTTAAAAGGTTTTGTTTTGTTTTTTTAATTCAAAACAAGCGGATTTGAAGAAGAGTGTAAAAGGAAGGCCAATGCTCTTACTTTTCTCTCTACACAAAACTGAAAACTGCGTATTTTCTCAGAAGACAGCTTTGCTTCCAAGGCTGTTACACAGAACAAGTTTCCATTGTGATTATAAAGCTGCTTTTTTACCCCCAAATAGTAAGTGATTCATTCTAGTATTTCTTCCTCCTTACTTAATATTCACTTTTACTTATTATCTAAATGACTGTACATTTTAAACTTCAGTTTACTTTTCAAAATAAAATGTCTAATATAATTCATTAACTTTTTTAAAACGGAAAATGATAGGTCAGTAAGCAACATCTAAAGCTGTCCCAAAACTTCACCCTTAACTAAAATACCAAAACAAATTCACTGATCCTGAATTTTCTTTAAATATCCTTAACACACATGAATACAGTTTACATAATTGTAACTTCGCAGTTACCCTCACAAATACAACTAGACTTTTAAAATTAAAATCTGACCCAGTCTGGTATATGATGTTAAAAAAATAAAGAAAATCATTCTTATTCTTAAATCACACAGAAATAATACACAATTACATGAAATATTTAAAGTGCTTAACTGAGAAGACCTAAAACAGTTCAGAATTTGAATGCTTTGTTTCCCCCTCGTAGTTAAGTACAATCAGGCATGTGACAGACTGCACACATTTTATGAGAGAGTTAAAGAACACATTCAGCCATGTTCTTCGACAGGTAAGAACCACCCTTCATTTATCAAGAATCAGCCAGAAGCAAACACATAAAGTTGTAACAACTTACCTTCAACTATTCCTTCTCTTTAAATATCGTCCTTTGAGCTTGAAAATAAAAAGCACTCCGGCAAGTTTTAAGTTATTAAAATGGCTCCTGTAGATTGGGGAAGTAGTGTCTGTGCTTCAGCTTATGAGTCATACATGAAACTAAGTGTTTCTAAGGGAGGCACGCCCATGTTGCTGTGGACCCAATTATTCTGCTAGGTCAAACATGCAAATCTACAGGTAAAAACGGGAGAGAGGTACAGAAAAAGAGGGAGGTAGAGACAGGAGCAAGAACTACCGTGATTAACTGATTTATACTAATTACCATAATTAAAATTAACAATGAAGTAAATGAGAATCTACAAGAAAGCAAAATTTAAATGTTTTAAAATAGAAATTCAATTCTTAAGTTATTTTTAGATATAAAATCATGAAAGGAGAAGAAAGTATGAGTGGAGATAGAAGGTAGCTGGCAAACTTTGTGGCTCTTAACGTAACAATGGACTGGTGAGTCTAATCTGGCTACTCATTAACCCTTATATGAAAGGGATAATTGCTATGTAATCTAGAAAAGCTAGCAAACTGCAATACCAAATGCCGATTTATAAGTTCACTAAATAGATAAAATCAAGTAGAAAATTCAAAGTTCAGTGGAAAAATAAACATGAATTAATCTACTCTACAGAATTAAGAAAAATAAGAAAAGCTCAGAACTTTTAAATCTAACATGGCAAAAATGCTTTTAAATACCAATGCAAGCTAGACAAAATCCTATTTTAAAAAATTATCAATGCAATCGACAAAGTTCACAACTGCACTACTTCCAAACAATGAACACGGTTTTCTTTATCTTTTGAAGAAAATTTTCCATGTATATTGCAAGCCTCCCTGCTGTATCTCTGCTGCTCTCTACATGGCCAGCCTACAGGGCCAACAACTATGCAAGGACAGCTCCACTCTCCAGTCACCATACATCTGACGAGGTGCCCAAGCCACTAAAACTTTATCACAACTCCTTACCCTGAATCCTGGGTGAACATTTATTCATTTATTCTAAGAGTTTCAATTAATCAAAATTGCTGGAAAGCATTAAGTACTGCCAAAAGTGCTTAAAATGATGAATGAAGTCCAACTTGATAGCCTAATATTTTACAAAAAGTAAACAGGATTTTGCAAGGTTTTCTCTTTCGTTAATTACTGGGGAGGAATTATTCTGCTTTACCAGAGGCACAGAGGACAAGCTGTCACTGACTTAGAAACTGTTCAAACTGCTACAAAATATAATTGTGAACTGACTTTCTGCCCACCCAGAGTCCATTTATCCCATTCCACTCAATATTGCTTGGTTTATTTTTTAACTGAAATAATCTCCATGATTTAACAAAGTATAAATTTTAAAAAGTGCTTAAAAGAAAAATACATCACTTTTTCTGTCAAAAGTCATATTTAGCTTATTTTAGCTTTTTTTTCCCCAGAATGATTCAAAACCCAAACACCAAGAAACAAGGTCCTCTGAGCAGCTGCAAGAAATTTACCATTCACTGCAAAGCCCCAAGTCATTTCACACAGCTGAACCTTATTTTAGACAATATCAATATAAGCCTAATAATCTGATGACCTTCTTTTGGCTAATGAGAAATAGAAATTATAAGGGTTCATGAAGGAGGACAACAGAAAAAGAATGATATCAGAACAAATATGACTGAGTAGATAATGGGAAGACCAAAAAAAAAAAAAAAAACTTTAAAAGACTATATAGATACAGCTTAAAAAATACTCAAAACTGAAGCCATTGTGGTAGGCCAATAAACTGTATATATTTCCTAAGTATATTACCATACACTGTCTCAAACTCAGTGTTAGTATGATATAGATTTCTAAAACACAAAGTGAGTAACATCAAGTATGTAAGATTTTTTTATGAGGTATAGATAAGCTTCTGCTACTGAGAAAATCTGTTTATATAAAGCACCTCATTAAGAAATAATGACGGGTATCTGCAATATAATTTAAAAGAAGTACTTTTGGCCACCAGTGCATACAGTGAAGTAAGAGACTTAAAGAGAAAATAATTACCACTCAGACAGAAACACACATCTTGGTTGTTCAAGGAGCATATTCCAGCTTGCCATTACAATATAGTGCCCCTTTGCCCAGGAGTGTCCCTATTAACATTACAGTACCACCTATAGGAACTGGATCCTGGCTCTCATCACAACCCAAAGAAATCTCTACAGAAGAGTAAAAAAGAGAGAGAGAAAAAAAATAGGCTAACAGTTCAGCACAGGTTCTAGAGCAAATCAGCTTGGATTCCAACCTCAAGTCTGCTAGCATACAATCTTAGGCAATCACTCATTTAACAGTCTGTGTCATAACTTCTTTATCTATAATTCTGTATCCACCACAAAGGATTATTCTTAAGAATTACAATAAATCCATATATTGCTACTCAGAATATACAAAGCATTTTCACAACTCAAAAAAAAAAAAAGCAGCTTTTAAAGTGGTCAAATATGAATAGATGCTTCACACCAAAAAAGAGCTATGGATGCTTTAAAAAAAAAAAAAAAAGGCAAACGAAAAGATCCCAACATTAAGACTCAACAGGGAGGACCAGCAGATGGCATAATGGTTACATCACTGTACTACCAAGTAGTCAACTGTGGTTCAAATTCCAAACCCAGTGGCTGAAAAGACCACGTATGTGTGCCCCAAATCCCAAGAGGAGAATGGAGGAGATGGGATTGCAAATGGCCATTTCCCGTGGGAGGTGATTTCTCGCTTTCTGTCTCTATGTCTGGTCTCCAGTGAGTGCACATGCCCTATAACAAAAATCTCTTAAAAAAAAAAAAAAAGATTCTATACAGAAAAGCAAATTAAAGTTACAATATCACCACTACCTAGCATCAAAATAGCTGGGGGGGAAAAAAAACGAAATAGAAAACACTGATTATACTGAAGGGCCTATGGAGCAGCCACAACTCTCACATATGTTGGTGGGAAGACAGTCTAGTAGTATTTTATAAACATACTTTCATAGGATCTAGTAATCCCACTACTAGATATTTACCCAAAAGAATTGAAGACATACTTCTCCAACAAAACTTCTATGTAGAAACAACCAGTAGCATAGTGATTAAGGGAGCCATGAGTCCCACATAGCTAACCACGTGGTTTGAGTCCTAGACCTGGCAGCTTGAAAAACAGACCAGGTGCATGTGCGACCAAATCCCAAGAGAAGAATGGAGGAGAGATTGCAGTGTGGCCATCCCTCAGGTGTGTGTGTGTGGGGGGGGGGGTATCATTTTCCCTCTCTCTATGTCCCTCTCCAGCACAGTACCCTTCAGCAAATTTTTAAAATTAAATTTAAAACTTCTATGTAAATATTTATAGCAGTTTTATTCATAATCTTCAAACACTGGAAACCCAAATTTCTATCAACTGGTGAATGGATAAAATGGTGAAAAAATTTTATGTCCCAACAATGGAGTGCTACTCAGTAATAAAAGGGGGTGAACTTTTGATATGTTACAAAATAGATGGATCTAAAGGCATTAGACTAATGCAATGAGCCAAACTTAAAAAGTATGATTCCATTTATATGAGGTTCTGGAAAAAGTCTAACATCTGGGGTTGGGAATGAGGGAAGGGGACTCACTACAAAGGAAAACAAGAAAACTGTTTAGGGTGATGGAAATATTCTGTATCTTGATTGTGGTACTGGTTATACGACCCACACATGTCAAATTTCCCAGACCTGAAAAACTTAAATAGGGTAAGTTGTATAATATATCAATTATACCTCACTAAGCCTGACTTGAAATAAAACTTAGGCTTCTAATGGAAATATAAAGTACCTACGCATACCGTATGTTTATTTCTAAAATTAAATAAAAAGGGTCTTCAAAAAGTTCATGCAAATCAATGGTCCCTATTATTTAGATAAGTATATAAACACCATTTAACAGACTGAGACTGAAAGTTATAAATCTTTCAATTGCATAGAATTTAGATGTTAACACCTCTGAAAATGTAACCCTTGGTTCTAAGCAGTATGTAGGATTTCAAAATGTGAAACATAGTTAACTGACTACTCTATCATTAGATATTAAACTAAAGCCTCCTTCACCCTTCTGCACAGGCAGGTTACTAGAACCCATGCATAAGTAGCATGTATCCTGGGACTAGCAGGTGGCATGGTGGTTAAGGCACTGGACACTCCCACATGGCCGAACAGGGTTCAAATCCTGAATCTGGTGGCTTACTTTCTCACTTCTCTCTCTCACTCTCACCCTCTGTCTCTCTCTGGTCAAATTAAAAAATAAATGAATGAATAAATAAAATAAGATAAATTTTTTTTTTTTTTAAAAAGAAGCACGTGTCCTGCACGAACGCCTGTTTTAAGAGGCATACCAAAGCCCGAAGCTGGTTTTATCCACTACTGTATTCCCATCACCTAGGACAGGGCCCCAAATTCAGCTGAAACTCAGACATGAATAAATTATTTCACTTTAACAGTTCACTGAGGGAAAAGTATAGTTTCGGATTTAAAATTTTACTATACATTTTAGTATTTTTAAAGAAAAGATGTGGCCCACCATTTAAGGCAGTTGAATTAATGTAACTGTACTACAAGAGATGTTACCGTAGGTGTTAACGTTGGATGCTATTCCTTCTTCTGACATTAAAAATAACAAAAAACTGATTATATAATTATATTCCTTATGATGTCCTCAGGTAATATGCTTACTGCAATCTCAAGCCCTTTCATATAGACAGGCTTTTGTATCTTTCACACTTCTTGCTTTAAATTCGGTACTAAAAACAATGAATAGTCTACTTCAGTACATTGTAAACAGGGATGCACCTCAGAATCTCCTTAAAGGGGCTTTCTGAAGACACCTGCCTACTTCTGCAAAGGATTCAGTAGAGCAGGCGGAGCTCAGGCTTACTCCAACCACTACTCTGTAAGCCCTAGCCCCTAATTATTAATAATACTGCTCCTTTGCACAGTAACCACTTAAAAAGACAGTTAACTTAGTATTCAATAAACTCTAAATGTTCTTAAGAAGAAATCCTCGGGAACCAGCAGTTAGCATAATGGCTATGTCGCTGGACTCCCATGTAGTCGACTG